CCGGAAGCCACAAAGGAAGTTCAAGACCATGTGTACGTGGATGATATTGGTGGGTCCAGAGAAACTACATCAAAAGCAAAACAGATTACCAATGACATTGACGCTATCCTCAAGAAAGGTCACTTCCAGATCAAAGCTTGGCATTCCAATCAGGCAGGAATTGACCAATCCAACGGTGAAAGATACACAGACCTACTTGGTCTAAGATGGGATAAACAGGCAGACAAGTTTACCTTGAAAAAGAATGAGCTTGGCCACTTGGATGTCCTGACAAAGAGACGTTGCCTAGGTCTTGTTGGTCAATTCTGGGATCCCATTGGTCTCAGGCTGCCTGTAGCAATCAAGTTCAGAATCGACCTACAAGACTTGTGGAGCTCTGGGTATGACTGGGACGAGATCCTGCCAGCAAGCGTTCAAAGCAAGTGGAAGGAAAATGTGCAAACCATGAATCATCTTCTAGCGTTTGAATTCAACCAAAAGTTGAATTCAAGTCATGCAGTTGGGGTACCGCAAGTCCATGGATTCTGTGATGGAGGCAAGAAAGCATACAGCGCAGTCATTTTCCTCCATTGGGAGTTAATGAATGTTAATGAAAACGAAAACAGTCCCAAGACTGGAACTCATGGGTTGTTTAACAGTTACAAGGATGTACGACACTTGCAGAACGTCACTGCTGTTTGCAAACATCCAAGATTGCAAAAGAATCTTCTGGGTGGACTTCTCTACTGTCTTGTCGTGGATAAAGACCCCATCACAAAAGTTTAAGCCTTTCTTATCAGCGAGAGTAGCAGAGATACAAGAAACTGTTGGAGTTGATGACTTCTGCTACATAAGGTCGAAGAGTAATCCCGCCGACACACTCACAAGAGAAACCGAACTATCACAACTTACAGATTGGCTAGAGGGACCGTCTTTCCTCCAATTGCCCGAAGCCAAATGGCCCAGTTTTCGAGCTGAAGACCAAAGTACTCGTGTAGAAGAAGTTGAAGTCTTGAAGGAAATGAAAACCTCAGAGAAGGCTGACACATCTGAGAAGCATGAAACAGCCATAGCAAATGTTAATGCTGTGAAACACGAAGCTACCACAGCAGAAGCTAATGCCAAACTAGGAGAAGATAACACCATTCTTCACCATTTACTGAAGACCTGTTCAACACTCCCGAAGATACGGAGAACACTCGCTTACGTTCGCCGTTTCGCCCAAAATGCTAGAAAGAAGAATGCAAAGACAGGCCCTATCACTGTTCAAGAATTGAAAGAGTCTCAGAATCAACTGTTCAAGTGGAGCCAACTACACTTAGATTCATCCATCATTGACAAGAAGTTGATTCCAAGCCTGGACAAAGATAGTCTAATTCGAGCTCATGGACGTCTCGAAGATGCCAGATCATCCCCACCAGAAATGAGAAAACCAGTAATCCTACCACACGACCATCTACTTGTCAAGCTGCTGCTGCGTCATCTGCACACCAGGCGTGCAGTGTGGCTACAAGAGCTTAATTCATGAAGCCAGAAGAAAGTACTGGATAATAGGAGTTTGCAGCATGTCCAAAGTCTCACTGCAAAGTGCACCACCTGCAGGAAACTTCGGAAGAAACTGCTGGACCAGCTAATGGGGCAGATCCCCTCCTTACAAGTGGCAGCAGGTTTTCCCCCTTTTTCCAACACCGCCATTGACATGTTTGGACCCTTGCATATAAAGCTTAATCGGAAGATTCTGAAGAAGCTCAAGTCGTAATATTCACCTGCATGACAACAAGAGCAGTTCACTTAGAACTTGTCAATGACAAAACATCTGATGCCTTTTTGATGGCGTTCCGTCGTTTCACGAGCTTGTGTGGTCACCCAAGTGTTTGTTAGTCTGACTGTGGTACAAACTTTGTCAGTGAAAGAAATTATGCGGAACTGGAACATTCCCAAGATTCAAAGTGTTCTATCCAAGGATTTCAGTAGTGATTTCAAATGGCTATGGAATATACCTCATGCAAGCCATCAAAATGGTGTCGTGGAAACTCTCATCAAGTCTGTCAGACAAGGTCTCGATGCTATCTACAAGAGTCAAGCCTTTACCGAAGAGCAACAGAGAACATTTCTGTTGGAGACAACCTAAATCATCAATGGATGTCCTCTGTATCCAAGTTCTAACGATATCTGGAAAGGTCCACCCATCACACCAAATGATATTCTCATGGGTCATCATCTCCCACTCCCTCAACCAGAAACTGAGGAAAGGGTAAACCCCAGACATCTTCTAAGAAGTACCCAAGATCGAGTGAATGAATTCTGGAAATGCTGGATGAGATACTTTGCACCAAATCTGTTACCATGAAACAAGTGGTTCTGAACTAGAGAAAATGTTGAGGTTGATGATTTAGTTTTGGAGTTGGACCCGAATCAGGAAAGATCACAATGGAAGCTGGCTCATGTCGTTGCCACATATCCAGGAAACGATGGCCTGGTCAGAAAGGCGAGAATCAAGATCCAGAGTAGTGAATATGACAGACCAATCCACAAGTTGTCAATTAAGCCTATTCAGAGAAACAACACTAATGCTACTTTCTCATGCTACTCATCATTGAACACTATCACCTCGTAGTCATTGCTCAATTAGAACTAATCAATTAGACCTAATTTCCGCACTGGGGAGGAGTGATTTGGATGTTCAGTTGCACATAAAAAGAATTAGAATTCATTATTGTTGGTAATTGCAAAATCGCCTCGACTACGCGAGGTGGGAAAAACAGGTCATGTGAATTAAGTTTAAAAGGAAAAATTCATCATGTAACGACATTCGAAGCCAAGTCATCAACATTTGTAAGCGTAAGCATCAAGATAGTGCTCAAAGGGTTTTGAAACTTGTAAGTTCTGAAATCGTTTGTCGCTTCGATTTAGAATGTTGTAAATAGTAATTTATCTCATAATTATTTCAATTTCAGTTGACTACGATGTAACCACGGACGCAATGAGCCGTGTAAACTCTAGTTCAAATAAATCTGACAACTTTTGATCCCTGGTGGGCTAATCTTCAAAATAAGTAGTACCTTCAACCACAGGAGCAAATCACTCACAAACTAAATTCAATCCTGTGACTACTAATTCAATCCTTTGCAAAATGAGAATTCTTAAGTTATGGTGTATATTTGTAACAAACAAATACAACTGCCTTTTAATTCTAGATAGAAATAAGCATATATTAAGGCTGTAATAAGAATTCTACTGGTCATACACACCCTACACACAGGTGTGCTTCAGTAGTTATATATAAGGCGGGCTAATAAACAAACTACTGGTATTTACAACAACTTTAATTTTTGTATTTTCATGTGAAAGAATTGCCATGCCTATGGGAACCTTAAGCTACAGCCAGGGAAGAAGCAAATGCATCAATTTGTTCAAAAATTCCAACGGAAAAAAAATATTATCCTGCAAGGGCTGAGATTTCACATTTCAAATAATCTAACATTATTAAATCATGTTATCACAGCCATATAACTGCCCTTCAACATAGTGAATTGATCCTTAGCCAAAAAAAGGCCTGTTACAACACGAACTAAAAAATTTTCTGCACCTATCAGCATGACTCTACTTAGCCCCCAGAGATTAAGTGTTTTTTTAACTTGGAAGTGATGGCCTCTGATCTATACAGGTACTGTTACAAAATGCATTACGTTTAGGGCTAATTGTGGTTTGCCTCAGCCTAATTGAATTTGGTGAAGACTGTTGCTGTAAGAAAGTAGGATTGTCATTTTGACCGTTACATGAATAAATTTGACAGAAGTGGTTCTCCACACAGTCTTAATTCACAATGGAAGGTTTAATTTCTGAGCTGAGAAACCTGCATAATTTGTAGTGGACCAGTGACTGGAAACCAAGGCACATGGATTGTAAATCAAACCATAATTTGCTTGAGATAAATTCTTTGTTGTTTTCTCCAGTGCTTTCTTCCCAGTGACACATCCAACTATAAAAGTTGTTAAGCTTCTCCAGTCTTGAATCATTTGTAAAGTCCTGTCATTAATCATTAAATCCTGTCATTAAATAGGTTGACAAGTTCACAAGTGTGCTCTAAAAGAGATCTAACAGAATCCAGGGCAGACTCATCTTCTCCAGTACTGGTTGTAATATGTTCCTGGTATTTCTGTGATATAAGTGAAAAGAGCTAATGTACTGTAATATTATTTGGTTTGCATCAATATAAAAATGTTACTCAAAAGTGGACTAAAAGCAGGATAAATATAACACTTTTTTACTGAATTTTGAACATGTTCTAATAGTATAACATATCAATGGACTTAGCTGTAAAATTGCATATAACTGATGCATGAAATATGCTTATTTGTACCATAAATATCAGACTGTTGGTTATGAAAAGATGAAATAACAATTGACAGCAGCAAGATTAAATTAACAGCAGGGCTAAACAAGTGGAATTATCGCTAGACAATTAGAAAAAAACTACATGCAATTCACTTTAATAATCAAATTATCATTAATTGTAGTAATAGAATTAGCAGTGATTTTGTACCTACATGAGAAATAGCATCTTGGAGTCAAGCACATCTTCTGCAAGCTTATTCCTCATTTTACTGGCTGGGTCAAGCTCAAAATGCTGTAATGTGAGGTTATAGTGCAGTGGGAGGGAGAAACTTTCCTGGTCCCAGTTAAATGCACTTTTGAATTGATCCCAAGTGATTTGTTGTCCATTAACTTTTAAACACCTCGGCTGGCCTCTCTGGTTGCTTTTTTCAATATTATTCCTTATTTTCTTGATGTTATGCTGATAAGAAGATTAAATAATCAATAGATTAAGCTTAATAATTTAATTAATATTACACTTTTGGTATAGTTATATAATTCCAACAGTTACTATATCTAAGACTCCCAAACATATTGCAATTCAGTTCTCCACAACACTGGGATGGATTGGACCAGGATCAAAAGTCCATAAAATGTCTGCTTAGGAGTATTAATGCTATTGGTATTTAAGCAACAGTGTAGCCACATTATGACTTAAGAGTGTTTTGATTTTCTAACATAATGTCTGATTATTGGCTACAGTTGTTCAGAATCTTGACTTTGTAAAAACCACAAATTTCCTGTCATGTTAACTGAAAATTCCAGTGATCAGTCTAATTTTTCTGTTGTCTGACTTTCTGGAGATATATGTACAGCCAACAATATGTTATCCAGAAGCTAATTTTTTACTCAAGAAGCATCTAGATAACACATTGTTAGTTGTATGTGTATGTGTAACAAAATTAGAGATGACCATAATTGAAGGCTGATTAATGAGGCAGGGTAAAGGAAATATTTACTTTTTAAAACATTCAAAATACCTTTGGATCCATCATCAAAATCATTGACCCTCCAGTGTAGAAGTTCCTTGCTACAAATTTGGTCTCAACTGGGTTTTTGTCCTTGTAGTGCAGTTTTATGAACTGCCTGTCACATTCTGCCCCATCTAAGATGCACCAGTATACCCTAAAAAAAGCCATGCATGAACATGTGTCTTATTTCATTGGTAATTGTATATTATAACAGTACTATTTTTTATTTTTTGTTCATAGATTTAAGGTTGCAATAACTTGCATGGAAGTGTCATTCTCTGAAGTAAGTTTTATGTAAACCCTCTAAGTATAGAAATTCTTAGGTAATCAACTGAAATATAGGTTCTCATATTCCAACATCAAAATTGTCAGATTTAATGATTTATTTAATCATAAGGTTTAATTGTTATACATGTACTCACTCAAATCCAATCTCCAACATTGCCAGGACCCCAACCCAGAAACAGAAGTACAAACTGCTTGGAGTGCAATCTTTGGACGGGAATTGTGCAACAGGAAACCTAAACCCATTGTCACTGACATAAATGAACTGCAGCACAGGAGTAGCAAGTTCTGGTTCATCACCTTTTCCTACAAGCAAATTAAAGAATTTTATGCTTTTAATGACAGTAGCAGATTCCAAAATGGACATCTTTTTAAGTGTGAAATACAGCTTGGAATGTTTCTAAACTGAAAGTATTCAATAGGTACAGATGAGTATAGGTAAATTAGTCTTGCCTGATAGAGCTGTCATGAGCTCATGACCTTATCCAAGGTCAACAAAACCAACAAGCTTGTGTTTGCCACCAATGTTGGTCATCTCTAAATTCTCCTGACAATTTTTTACCTAAGATAATGTATATTGGTTAATTACAATATACAAGATTATAGCTCTCCTATCGACTATGAGTCAGATCATGTATCTTCAGAAAATGCCCATACACCCCCATGGAAGGGATTGGAAATTCCTGGGGGTGGGGAGTCTCAAAGGTCAAATAACTTAAGGAAATTCATTAAGTTTCAAATAGGACTTTCCTGTGGGACTAGGGGTCTTAGAAAAAATCCCTTCCATGAGAGAGGTATGGATTATTTATGGAACAAAACATTGTGTCCAACAAACTTACGTAAATGTTACTACACAATGAAATATTTTCTAATTTAGCTGAACTAGAAAGTAATTTTTTCCTGTCTGAAAAGGTACCTGAATCTTCATTTCGTCAATGACTAAACCACCCGCATAATCTGCTTCTTTCACTCCACTTTCCTTGGCTGCATTAAGGCACCATCTCAAAACCTCTGGGTTCCAACCAACTGCCTCCTTGACTTTGTTTTTATAAAGCCTGTAAATGATATTTCCTAATATAAACTGTCACTTAAAAATAATATGGAGCAGTTTAATAGCCAGGATTCAATTATTAAAATGCATAGGAATTCATCCGATGTACATCGCCTACTGTCAACCTATTATTGGTTGAATACCATGAATCTGTGACTATCTTTCGGCACATATGATCACCACTGCATCTAAGTCAAAAACAGCTGAGTCATTTGTAGATAGTTGCTTGCTTTACGCTGCACCAAAATACTACCTTTGATTGATTGCTTACCATTGCCGATAAGCGTGTTGGCACAGTACAATCTTACAGCCGTTATCTGTTTGTCACGCAATGCTGTCACGGCATATGCTGCAGTTTGATCTATTTTGTATAGAGCACTCTCAGGATAAGTGAAACAATTTATTCATTGTTTACCTGTTCATATATATGTAATAAAACAATGATTACTTGTGAGACCTGAACTTCTGTGAAGTTATATAATAATATGTGTATATTTATATAATCGTATTCTACAGTGTACGTGGCCTTGGTCCAAATCACGTTTGTTGTACGTTCTGATATTTCAGATAACAGCTGATAAAGCTAATGCTTGTACTCACTACAACAAGTTAAAAAAATCACCATAAACAAATTATAGATCGATGAAGCAAGAACTAGCTGAAATAAAAACAGGAAATCATGAGTCTAATTCGTGAGAAAAACAGACTAAATTTAATAAGTAATTACATGAGTAAACAAACCCTGGCCATGCCATTTTATTTGGCATATTTTGTTTGTTTCGTGGCGAGGCATTGGTATGTTTGTAACAGAAAATAGAGGATTGTTTTCAATACAGTGCAAAATTATTGTCAGTAAAATACTGTAAATAAACCCCTATTGACCAGTTACCTCTTCGTTCCAATAAGGGTTTCTCTATTGTCTCTACCCCTATTAGGCGGCCACCCAAAATTTAAAAAGGGTGATGGCAGATAAGAGTCTGAAACTGAAGGTGACGAGTGATAATTCAAACACAAGTCTATCATGATTGTCTTGAATTGACTCCATGTTCACCAAGAAATTTATAACCCAATAGCAAAAAATATTCAAGGCACCAACCTTTATTAAGCAGTCAACCCCTATTATGGGGTCACCTCCCATTTCCCCGAGGGTAGCCTACTGTATTATATGTAAACCAAAATAATTGCACAGCATGAAAAGACCTAGGTACGAGTTTAGCGTTACAGTATTACGCAGCACATGTAGGTAGCGGTGGTCGAGTAAAAGATGACAACAGGGGCAAAGGTTAACTATTGCTGGTTTTCAGTGTCACGCAATTCAAAATAGATCAAAATCAAAATCAAAACCAGTCAATAGATAAAGTCCAGAATCTGGGAAATGAAAGAAGGTAAATATGCAAAGACTCTCGCCAAAATTCTGGTCACAGCAATTTTTCTTATGCGAAATACGCAGAGTAATTTTTTTTCCCAAATTTATAGAGATTTGTATGGAGACGCCATGCTGGTTCCCATCCGTATGGGCACCAACATGGCGGCCGGAAACCAACAGAAACATCTGTCACCGAGTTTTGCTACAAAAGCATGAATTTATCCCTCAAGGAACTCTAAAACGTTAAAATAATACTTTTTGTAAGACATGAACTGTTCAGATAGCCAAGTTCCCCGAAATAAGTCACTTTTTTAACCATCATGACAGCTCTCTAGGCCGTC